CGTGCGGATCGTTGTGCAGAACGTGTCGCTGCGTAACGGCGCCGTGCTGTACGTGATGGGCGGTGGAGGGTTGCGCGGTGCGGTGGCTGCGGGAAGCAACGAGAGCGGGCCGGTGGAGCTCTCCGTGTGCGATGTGGAGGCGCTGAACGGTGCGCTTGTGCTGACCGGCACGTATCCCGCGGGGTCCGCGCTGACGGTGACGGACTCCCTGTTGGTTGCCGCGAGGTCGACGCCGCTTGTGTATCTTTCCGGCTCGCGGTCCTCGCCGTACGCACCGGTGCTTGTGCTGTCGGGCCTGCGGCTTGTGCGGTCCGTGCTGGTTGTGTCTGGCGTTGCCCTCGTGACGGTGATGACTGGTGGGCGGACGGTGGTGGTGGACGGCGCCGTGCTGGAGCTCGTCGGTGGCGGTGTCGCGCTGGACGCGGCTGTGTTCGGTGGCGAATATGCGTTGTACGCGAGTGCACGCGTGGTGGCGTCGGAGGGCGCTGTGCTGCGCGTGTCGGGGAGCCAGGTGTACGCCGCGCATGGATTGGTGTTCGACAACAGGGTGATGGCCAACGCGTCCGCCGTCGTGGTGAATGACAACGCCGGTGCGCTGACGGATGGCGCGCTGCTGGTGCTGCGGGAGACGGCGTCGTTTGTGTCCGGGTCGTGGCTGTCGGTGCGCGGCAACAGCATCAGCGGCAGGCTCCTGTCGGTGCCTCCGTACCCGCGCCGTGCGGAGCTTGTGCAGAGCACGCTGACGTTTCACAAGAACGCTGGCAGCGGGCCCGCTGTGATGGACGGCACCGTTGAGCTCGGGAGCGCCGGCCGAAAGTTCGTCGTGGGGTGCCTGACGCTCAACGGGCAGGCGCTGCAGCCGATCGACTACAGGTCCGCCGGCATCATCGGGAAAGTTCGCCCCGTGGCGTGCAGCGTGTGCGACGCCGACGTGAGCTGCTTTGCTGCTGCGACGAGGGCGATGTCGGGGTCGTGCCGCTGCAGCTGTGTTGAGGGCGGGTACGGGCACGACTGCCTGCCTGTGTACCTGCCGCAAGTGGACGGGTGCAACCGCACGCCCGAGAAACCGCTGCTGAGCCACACGGCGACGCTGACGGCGACGCGCAGCCTGACACCAACGTGGACGCCGGGTATGAGCACGGCGCGCTACAGTCCGACGAACTACGGACCGACGGAGACGCTGCAGGTGACGGAAACGGTGACGCTGCTGCCCACGCCGGCCCCGACAGCGTCGGTTACGGCGACGGTGCTGCCGACCGCGACAGTGACGGCATCGGAGTCACTGAGCGTGAGCCTGTCGGTGAGCAGCACGCCGTGGTGGAGCGACGTGGCGTGCCCGACACTCACCGTGACGACGACGGTGGCTGGTGGGAGCCTGACGCAGAACGACATTCGCGGCGGTGGGAGTGCCGTCCCGACGCGGCTGATGGTGGCGCTGCCGCCGCCGTTCCGCTGGGCAGGCGACCCGCAGCTCGGCACGCACCTGAGCTTCGTGCCGGTGGCGACGGCGCAGCCGACCGGCTTTGGTGGTCCGTGGGGAGCGATGCTGCGCAACGCGACGTGGGTGCGCAACGCGACGAATCCGTCCACCGTCCTGGAGCTGGCTGTGCCCGTGCACCGCGGTTACTTCATTGGTGCCGACGAGACGATAGTCATTCGCTGCGACGCTGTGGCGGTGTTTGGCGGCTGCAAGGGTGTGCTGCTTGGGTCTTTCACGATCGCGTCCAACACGCCGCCTGCTGTTGCCAGCGCCCTCTCGGCGATCACCGGCGTTGTTGCGGGTGCGACGGCTGTTGCCGTGGTGGTGACCGGCGGGCTGGGCTCCATCCTGGAGATGCAGGCGCTCGGCGTGTTCGCGAGGATGTCATGCGCCTCGGCGCAGGAGCGTGCGAGCACCGTTGCGCTGCCGTACTTCCTGTCGGTGTTCGCTGCCCTTGACCCGCTGTGGATGGTGGTGGGCAACGCGCTGCTCGCCGCGGTGTTCGGCTGCGTGCACTACGGTGTGACGGCGGCCTTCCAGCGGTGGCGCGGCGTGGACGCGGCGAGTGCGTGGGCGGCGATGCGCTTCCCGAGCCTGACGTACGTAGTGGCGCACGCGATGCACCTCGGCATTTTCTTCGGCTCCGTGTTTGCAGTGGCGATGCCCGGCGCCCGCGCGCAGCACTACGTGATCGGTGTCGTTGGCGTGCTGTACGGTGTGGCGTTCCCTGCTGGCGTGTGCTACTTGATTGCCCGCCACACGGGCGCGAGCTTTGCGAAGTACTGGCAGTTTTCGAGGAAGCCGCTGCACGAGCGCCTGCTGTACCCCGTCGGGTATTGGTACCCCGCGGCGCAGCAACGGATGTACGGCGGCATGCTGACGAACATGAAGGGCAACTACGTGTACTGGTGCGTGTTCCAGCTGTCGGTGCTGTGCGTGGTGGGCCTGATTGCTGCTGTGCACCCGCCCGCGGGAAGCTGCCACGTCCTGTACTTCTGCATGGCTGCTGTGCTGCTTGCGGGTGCGGGCGTGGTTGCCTTCACGAACATGATGCGCTCGGCCTTCCTGACGGTGATGCGCACGGCGAGCTTTGTGCTCCTTGCGGCGCTGTGCCTGACCAGCGCGGCCAACCATCTTGCGCCGAGCGACGGCGGAGCGAGGGCGTACGCGGCACTTCTGATGCTGCTGACCACTGTGCTGCTTGCGGCCACTGTGTACTGTGCGGTTGTGTGGTACGTGGAGGACCGCCACTGGCAGGAACTGCGCGAGCCGCAGCGTGGCGAGCTGGATGCGCTGCTGCACGATGACGAGGAGAGCGACGAAGAGTTGCGGAAGCACCACGACAGGACATCATCGTCGTACGCTTCAGGCACCGCCGGCGCGTCGTCGTACCGACCACCCGCGCCGCCGCAGTGGGAACGCATCATTGGTAGCAACGAGGGTAACCCAGATACCATTGACCGTCAGCCGCAGCCACCGGCAGTCGACGCCCACTCCAACGCATTAACCTTCCTGGACCGTGCATCAACTACACGCGGGAGCGTGAATCACGCTATCCTGTGACATGCGCCACGTGAAATTTGTGTGCGGTGCTGGCCGATGGGGGGAGATGGCGCGGGGCCACGGCTGCTGCGCGCCACGGCCAGTCATTGTATGGCGCACCGACAGTGTCGTTCATTTTTGTTTTTATTGGTTCTTGTCTATTAATTCTTTTCTGCCAGTGTTGATTTGTTTTCCTGTATTTTTCTGAAATTATTTGTGTGGTTTTTTGTCCATTTTTTTATTTTTTATTTTTAATTACACCAACTTCATAGTGTTTTGTTTTGTAATTACCTCTTTTTATTTTACTCCTTTTTTCTTTTGGCCCGCCACCACTGCAGCTGCTGCGTGTATATCGCTGCGTGGAAGTGGCGGGAGTGCGGTGCTGGCCGACGGGGGGAGATGGCGCAGGACCACGGCTGCTGCGCGCCACGGCCAGTCATTGTATGGCGCACCAACAGTGTCGTTCATTTTTGTTTTTATTGGTTCTTGTCTATTAATTCTTTTCTGCCAGTGTTGATTTGTTTTCCTGTATTTTTCTGAAATTATTTGTGGGGTTTTTTGTCCATTTTTTTATTTTTTATTTTTAATTACACCAACTTCATAGTGTTTTGTTTTGTAATTACCTCTTTTTATTTTACTCCTTTTTTCTTTTGGCCCGCCACCACCAGCAGCTGCTGCGTGTATATCGCTGCGTGGAAGTGGCGGGTGTGCGGTGCTGGCCGATGGGGGGAGATGGCGCGGGGCCACGGCTGCTGCGCGCCACGGCCAGTCATTGTATGGCGCACCAACAGTGTCGTTCATTTTTGTTTTTATTGGTTCTTGTCTATTAATTCTTTTCTGCCAGTGTTGGCTTTATTGTCTTGTATGTTCTGGATAATGTGTGGGGGCTACGCGTTTGTGGCTTGGCTGCGGCAGAAGTGAGCGCTTGGGTGTTGGACCCCGCTGCGTGTATTTTGTGTGTGTGTGGCATCGGGTGGTGTGTGCTGTCCCGAATTCCTGCCTCTCTTCTCCTGCCTGTTTTTTTCTTTCCGGTGTGGCACTGCGGTGCACGGGCGAAGTAGTCGTTTGGATTTTTTTGTGATGCGTCGCATCTCACGATTTGCTGCGCCGTTGGTCATGGAGGACGAAGTTGTGCCACGACGCATGGGGATGATGCCAGCCGCACAGAGCGCAAGGAGGACGTTGTGACGCCGTGGGGTGTTGCCGTCACGGGCCCGAGGGGTGTGGACTATGGCCGCGTCCTCGCACTATTCGGGTCGGAGCCCGTTGATGAGCCCCTTCTGCAGCGGCTGGAGGAAACATGCAACGGACGGGAGGAGCACGCGCAGGCAACCAACACCGCACAAGGGGAGGCGGGACGAATGGCATTGCACCATTTTTTCCGCCGCGGCATTGTCTTCTCCCACAGGGATTTTGGAACCGCCCTTGACTGCGTGCGTGCGTCCTTTGCGACGGGGACACACCGCGCGTACTTGTACACTGGCCGTGGACCGAGCGCGCAGTCGATGCACATTGGCCATGTCATACCGTTTTTATTGACGCGGTACCTGCAGGATGCGCTCGGTCTTCCGTTGGTGATCCAGATAACCGATGATGAGAAGCACTTCTTCCGCGACATTCCTGTCAGCGGGGAGAAAGCGAGCGGGTTGGTGGTGGAGAACATAAAAGACATCATTGCCTTTGGCTTCGATCCACGCAAGACATTTATATTCCGCAACACGATGTACATGGGGGACATGTACCCAACTGTCGTGCAGGTGCAGCGCATGTTGACGCTGAGCGCTGTGAAGAATGCATTTGGCCTGAAGGATAGCGACAATGTTGGAAAGGCAGCATTTCCAGCGGTGCAGGCCGCACCGTGTTTTAGCAGTGCCTTCC